ATGACCCTAGGCGTTGTGTAAGGCTAGAAATTTTGTACCGCATTGTTTCATAATAATGATAGGAAGGAACCGTAAACTTGTGATTGAAAGTGATGCCAAGAATGTTGCAGGTGGATTAACCAAAGGGAGAGCATAGTGGGCATTAATATTCAGTTACTAAAGTTTATATTAACGGAATACAATGGTATTTAAAAAAAGAAAATAATATAATAGAGAGTAAAGTATAAAAAAAATACTAAAATCATAATAATCTGAACCATTAATTTTATTAAATAATTAGTTGAATATTTTTTAGTTCTCGTGGGACTAATTTTATTGGCTCTCAGTATATAGTAAATTTAACGAACGCATAGCTATATTTATTGAATGTGTGAAATAAAATATATTGCATTTTATATCTCAAAAATCATAGAAATGTTAGTAGGTAACATAAAAAGATTTCATCATATGCCCCCAAAATACAGCACATCATCGAGTAATGACATAAAAATAAAAAACAGTTTGCATGAGTAGTTTAACTGGTTATAGAGGTGAAACTTTGAAAGAATGACTAGGGATTGAGTCTCACCGGCAATGTGGGAGCAACCTCTCAAAGTGAGGGGGGCTCGATTTACATCCTCCCAAATATGCATTTACCTTTACTATTGTTTAAAATGTGCATTTACTATTGATGATGTAGAATATTATTATTAAAATATTTTCGTCTAATTTTTAATTTCTGTTTCATTTTTAATTATAATGCAATGATCTGACCATTTTTTTTTTTAATTTTAGTCAATTATGGATCATTAATATCACTTTCTTTTTATATTTTCAATCGATTAATCAATTAGAATATAGATGCAGTGATATTTTTACATAACGTTCGCTCTATTTTTATTTGATGATGTAGAATATTATTGTTCAAATATTTCCGTTTTATTTTTAATTGGGAAAATGACACTTTTTCCCCCTAAGTTATATATTTATAGCACTTTTTTCCCCTCAATTATTTATGTAAGCATATTAGCCCCCTCAATTATTTTAAAAGTGGTGGTTTTCTCCCCTAATATATTAAATTGACATTTCTACCCTTAAAGTAAACATTTTATTTATTTTACTTCTCCAACAAATTATTGTGTATATGTAGCGATTACTACGGTTCGGTTCGAACTGAACCAAACACTATAGCAATCGAATTAAAAGTTTTCGATTATGATCCAGATCTAGAACCCAATATTTGGATTTCAATTTATTAAATTTAAGAATATAAAAAAAAAAAAAAAAAAAAAAACTGGATCATGAACCGTGAACCAGCGGTTCCGGATCCGGTTCGCGATTTTGAATCGTCTTTATTTTAAAATTTTATTTTTTATTTTAAAATAGTCTAAATTCAACAATAAATGTGATAGGGTGAGGACCCCGGCCTAAGGTATAGGGGCCCAAAGAAAATAGATAGGAGAAGTGGGCCAGCGTCGAGAGGAGCCCGAAGAACAATTGGGTCGGGTCCGGGAGCCGGCTCAGGCCCAAGCATGGGGCCCAGTTCCGAGCTGTCAAGAGGAGTCCAGTAGGAGCTTAGGCCGAGACAAGGAGTCGACCGAGGCCCAAGCCCAGGAAAGGACTCGGCTCAAGGAGCCGTTGAGAGCATTGAAGAGGCTCGTTTGAAAAGGGAGTCATTGAGACATTGAAAGCCGGACACGGTCAGGCCGTTACAAGCCTGGGAGAGCCGTTGGTCGACCGAGTAATGGCATCCAACGGCTCCGTATCTTAATTAGCCATGAAGTCGGCTATCAAAGGCCTTCAAGTCGGTAGAGGGGGAGCCACTATATAAAGGCTCCTCCATTCTTGTAAAAGGAGAGACAATTGAACACCCAAAGAGGGGAGAATACCAAAAGAGTTCCGAGTACTAGTATAATCTCCGAAATAGACATACACTTTATCGAAAGGTGCACCCACCAGCCGAAGGTTGTGTTGGACCTCCTTGGGCCCGAAAACCCTAAAACCATCACTGGCGCCGTCTGTGGGGATCGAAACTAAGAGTCACGTGTCCTCTTGAGTGAGGCGAGTCCGAGGAACAACGATTAGAATCCCAGTCGAATTAGAAAAGTTCCAGACATGGCAGGAAGTGAAGAACAATCGAGCCGTCATAACAATGGACGGGAAGCAGACCTGAGAAGCCAGCTGAATCGGAGAAATGCCCGGAACCGGGAAAACGAGACAACACCGCCGCCGACACCATCGATAAACCAACAATTGCCCCAAGTGCTGCTCACCCCAGAGCAGCTGCGTGCAATCGGACGCGCCTGTGCCGAAGCAAGCCTAGGAGTGAGAGAACAGTCCATCACTCGCCAACCGCAACGCGAGTTACAGCCGCTTCATAGGCCCGACAACCGGCAACCGAGCCGACGGGCCGAAAGCCAACCGGTACAGTCCGTTCATTCTCGGCTGGGTCCCATCATTGGGCGTCGGTCGGCAAGAGAACGATTGGGTCGGATGGAACCCAGTCATGCCCCGTTAGCCGCTCGCCATCGACAAGCTGCACGAGAGAAGAACCGTACCAAAAGAGCCAGGACTGAGACTCGTCGCGTGGAGCAACCTCCACGCAACCCCGACCAACCGGTTGAGTCTGAAATCGGCGAGAGCACGGAATCCACAGGAAATCGCACCCGGGAGAGGGTCGAAGTGGCGAACTTAGTGCAAGAAGTGTGAAATCTGAAAGAACAGATGGAGGGGAAAACCAAGTCCCCAGGACGTACGTTACTGACCGCCTTACCCTTCTCGGATGAGGTTATGGCTTTTAAAATACCGGGTGATTTCAAGTTCCCAGAGCAGGCCACGTTCGATGGAACCGGCGATCCCCGGGAGCATTTGCTGAGCTACCAGGCTAAGATGTTTTGGGGGTACGAGATCCGGTCATGTGCCGCGCCTTCTTGCCCACGTTGAAAGGGTCAGCACAAAGGTGGCTAGTGGCACAGCCCTCGGGATCGATTCACAACTTTGAAGAGCTGGCAGACCGCTTCATGAGCCATTACGCCGCTAATATCAAGCCACAAAAGGACCTAACACACTTGGGTGACATTCGTCAAGACGAAGGCGAGTCCTTGAAAACCTATCTGGCCCGCTGGCATAAAGGAATTCAGTCCATAGAAGAGGTCGAGGACCAGACGGCGCTCACCTTCTTCATTGAGTCGCTGAGGTCCGGCCAGTTGTACCGAGACCTGAGGGACAATCGTCCGGCCACCTACGCAGAGGCCATTCATATGGCCAATAAGAGGGCCAACACAGAGCAGGCTATGAAGTACAAGCGACAGCGCGAAGTCGGCGGATCCGTCAGCGGGAAGAGGACGCGAGCGGAAACCAAAGAAAGGCGCCCGGACGTGACTCGGCGACCCGAGGTCAGACGGCCATACGACAGGCCCGTCGTCCATGCTTATCGGCCGATTCCCGAACGTCCGGTCCATGAGATACAAACGGTCGCCCCGCCTCTGCCTCCGCCGACCGACGATCGCCCGACGAACGGAGAAATGGGTAAGACCTCTAAGTATTGTCGTTATCATAAATTTTACACTCACAGCACGGAGGAATGCTTCTACCTGAAGAAAATCATGGAGGGTATCATTCAGCAAGGAACCCCGCCTCCTAATCAGTGGAGGCGGAGATCGGTCCATCGAGGGGATGAGGATCCCGCCGCCGTTGCCGAAAATAGTCGAGGCAAGTAGCCGACTCCCGAGGAGGAGGAGGCTCAGTGGCGTCAGAAGCCGGTTATCAACATGATAGTCGGCGGGCCGGAAGGTGGTGACTCAACGAATACCAGAAAAGCCTGGGCCCGCCAGTTATACGTCGGAACGGTGTACGGGCGCGAGGAGAATCCTAAAAAGGCGTGCCGAGAGCCCATTGTGTTTACCGACCGAGATTTACCAGCCGGCGAAACACCGCATCGAGATGCCTTGGTTATAGCTATGGACATCAATGGCGTTGTCGTTCGACGAATCTTGGTGGACACCGGAAGCAGCGTCAATGTGCTGTACCTCGAAACCTTCATCAAAATGGGAATGACTCGAGAACAGCTGAGTCCTGTCAAAACTCCCCTCGCCGGTTTCACAGGGGACTCGGTGGAGGCGGAAGGATCGATCACACTTCCAGTTGAGATCGGCAGTTACCCAGACGTACAGAGACTCAGCATGAAGTTCATTGTGGTGAATCTGGCCTGTTCACATAACGCTATACTCGGCCGACCGGGTCTCGAGGATCTGGGAGCGTTGATTTCAATTGAGCATCTTTGCTTAAAATTCCGCACGCCAAACGGAATAGGCACGGTGCGCTGTGACCGTAAGGTCGCTCGCGACTGCTACCTACAGGCATGGTAGGGGATGGGCAAGCGCGAGATACAGGTCTATGAGATCACCGAGAGGCCCCCAATAAGGACAATAATACCACGTCCGGAGCGTGCCGTCGAGTTGGAAGAAGTCGAGATCGACTCCACGCAGCCGGACCGACGAGTCCGAATTGGAGTCGGCCTCCCCGAGGAAGTAAAGGAAGAAATTATAAAGGTGCTCCGGGAACACCGGATGGTCTTCGCCTGGTTCCCGGAGGACATGCCAGGCGTCGACCGATCGATCATATCGCACAGACTCGCTGTGGATCCCGGGCATCGACCGGTTGTGCAGAAGAAGTGATACCTGGCCAACGACCGAAGAGAATTTGTGAAGAAGGAAGTGAGCACGCTACTCGCAGCCGGACACGTCCGCGAAGTTAAGTACCCAGAGTGGTTGGCGAATGTGGTCCTTGTACCCAAGCCCCCGGCGTGGCGGATGTGCGTAGACTATACCGACCTTAACAAGGCCTGCCCAAAAGATCCGTTTCCCTTACCGCGGATCGATCAACTGGTCGACGAGACGGCGGGGTCGGCGCTGTTGAGCTTTATGGACGCCTTTAGGGGGTATCATCAGATATTCATGCACTCGGCGGACGAAGAAAAGACCGCGTTTCTGACACCGGACGGAGTTTATTGTTACCGAGTCATGCCGTTTGGGCTCAAGAACGCCGGGGCCACGTATACCCGAATGGTGGCCCGATTGTTTCAGCACCTGCTGGGAAAATCGATGGCCGCGTACGTCGACGACATGCTCGTCAAGAGCCGAGAGGAGAGCAAACACGCAGGGGACTTGGCCGACTGCTTCAAGGTAATGTTAAGGTACAACCTCCGGCTGAACCCCAAGAAATGTGCGTTCGCCGTGCAAGGTGGAAAGTTCCTGGGTTACATGGTCACCAAGCGAGGTATCGAGCCTAACCCTGAGAAAGTACAGGCCATCGTCGACATGCAGCCTCCTGGCACTATAAAAGACCTGCAACGGCTAACCGGCCGATTGGCCGCCCTTAGCCGCTTCCTAAGCAAGGCGGCAGATAAGACCGTGCCCTTCTTCGAAGCCATGAAGAAGAAAGAAGGATTCGCTTGGACCCCAGAGTGCCAGCAGTCGTTTGAAGAATTGAAACAATACCTCTCGACACCCCCGGTATTGTCTACCCCCCAGGAGGGCGAGCCCTTGTTTCTGTACTTAGCCGCCTCTCGCAAGGCGGAGAGTTCGGTATTGGTCCGAGAGGAAGAGCGAGTCCAGCACCCGGTTTACTACGTAAGCCGGTCTCTGAAGGCTGCCGAGTCAAGGTATACCACCTTGGAAAAAATTGTATACGCGTTGGTGATTACCGTGCGCAAGTTGGCGCCCTACTTCCAAGCTCACACCGTCTGAGTACTGATAGACCAACCTCTCGGAAGTGTTTTGCGAAACCCATCGTCGTCCGGCCGCCTGGTAAAATGGGCCGTAGAACTAACCCAATATGGGATTGAATACCAGCCCCGGCCCTCCGTGAAGGGTCAGGCCTTGGCTGATTTCTTGGTCGAATGCACCGCGAGTGAGGAAGAAAAGGAACGCGCCGTGGAGAGCTACCTAGGCGAATGGTGGGAAATGCACGCGGACGGAGCCTCGAGTCGACAGCACTGCGGAGGAGGTGTTGTGCTCATCACCCCCGAAGGGTTCCGACTGTATTATGCCCTGAGCTATCTGTTCCAAGCCTCCAACAACGAGGCCGAGTACGAAGCTGTGTTAAACGACCTCCGACTCGCCAGGGCCTTAGGGGTCGAGAGGTTACGAATCAAGACTAACTCTAAGTTAGTAGTCGGGCAGATCTCAGGCACATGCGAGGCAAAGAATGCCCGGATGACTCTATATAGAGAACGCGCGGTTGAGATGCTAAAAGAATTCGGAGCCTACGAAATAGAGTATATATCTCGAACGGATAACATAGAAGTTGACATATTGTCCAAGATTGCCTTGGAAGGAGTACTGGACCACCTGGTAAAAATCTGTCAGAAAGAGGAGCTAAGCCGGCCAAGCATCGAAGAAGCACCGCTAAGGGTCCAGCAAGTGACTGGCGAGGAATGGGACCGAGAGAAAAATCCTGAGATGTTCTGGATAGAGGACATCCGGCGATTCGTAGAAAAAGGCGAGTTACTGGAAGACCCGGGAGTCGCCGCGAGGGTTCGACGAAAGGCCCCCTCTTTCCAGATCGTTGATGGGCAGTTATATAAACGGTCGTTCGGAGGACCTTTGTTAAGATGTTTGCTCAGGCCCGAGGCAGAGAAAATAATGGACGAAGCCCATAGAGGCATCTGTGCCGCGCACCAGGGTGCCCACAATCTCGCTCGGAAGTTAGTCGTCCAAGGATATTATTGGCCCACCATGATGCGAGACTGCATTGAATGGATATCCAAGTGCGGCGTTTGCCAGGCATTCGCCAAGAAAGATACTCGGCCAGCTACTTTTTACACGCCGGTCACCACCGCTATCCCATTTGCCAAGTGGGGGATTGATTTGCTGGGCCCGTTGCCAGTCGCCCCCGGAGGTTTGAAGTTCTGTGTCGTAGCTATCGACTACTTCACCAAGTGGGTCGAGACGGAACCACTGGCCACCATCACCGAGTACCAATGCCGACGTTTTTTATGGAAAAGGGTAATTAGCCGCTTCGGCCTGCCCGAGCACATCGTTAGCGACAACGGACGACAGTTCGATTGCCAGGCATTCATCGACTTCTGCCGCCGACATGAAATTCGCCACACTAAGGTGTCGGTAGCATACCCACAAGCCAATGGACAAGTCGAGAATGTGAACCGAACGCTAGTGGATGGAATTCGGAAGAAATTGGAAGACATTCGAGGGAATTGGGCGGATGAGCTTGACCGAGTCCTATGGGCTTATCGCACCACCCAACGACGAGCAACGGGAGAGAGTCCGTTCTCCCTCGCGTATGGCTTTGAGGCCAAGGTTCCAATTGAGGTGGTCGAGCCCACCCACCGGGTTCGTACCTATTCAGACGCGCAGAACGAAGAAAGTCTTCGAATTGAGAAAAATTTCTTAGAAGAAAGGAGGGAAGTCGCGAGTGCGCGAATGGCTGAATACCAACAGGGGGTGAAAAGATATCGTGATCGGCGGATTCGTCTGCGAGCCTTCCAGGTCGGCGACCTCGTGCTACGAGATCGACAGGCCAGTCAACCCACAGAGGGGGGTAAGCTTGCGATCAAGTGGGAGGGACCAAACCGTATCGCCGCGGTTGTCCAAGCGGGGACCTACAAACTAGAAACCATAGAGGGCAAGCCCGTGGATCGAATTTGGAACTTCATCCACCTGAAGAAGTTTTATCAATAGAAAGGGACAAAGCATGTATGGGCCCGCGGGTCCTGAAAGACTTGAATAAAAGTACGAGTTACGGTTGACCACTCCAGCGACTCGGCGAGTATATAAAGAAACAATGGGGCACTGACCCTAAAACGTTTCTAAGAAAGTAAAAGCCTAAGAAGTCGCCTCGACTGAGGGACTCGGCGAGAAAGAGTTAGGAAACAAGGGCCCAGACCCTTAGTCGTTTCCGTGAAAAAGCCAAGAGGAGTCGCCTCGACTGAGGGACTCGGCGAGTATATAAAGAAACAATGGGGCACTGACCCTAAAACGTTTCTAAGAAAGTAAAAGCCTAAGGAGTCGCCTCGACTAAGGGACTCGGCGACAAAGAGTTAGGAAACAAGGGCCTAGACCCTTAGTCGTTTCTGTGAAAAAGCCAAGAGGAGTCGCCTCGACTGAGGGACTCGGCGAGTATATAAAGAAACAATGGGGTACCGACCCTAAAACGTTTCTGAGAAAGTAAAAGCCTAAGGAGTCGCCTCGACTGAGGGACTCGGCGAGCAGTTAAGGAAACAGGGTTGAAGAGAAAGCCCCAAGGTCAAGAATAATACGAAAGAGAAGAGAAAATGGTAATTCTATTAAAAAAGGCCCGAAAAGGAGGCCAGCCTTTACAAAAGGGACTATCCCAAACAGGATAGCCCTAAACTGCTGGAGAGGGGGTGTCGACGTCAATCCCTTCGACTTGAGCCCCTGCCGTTGGTCCAGCCAGGGGAACAGAAGAAGGGTCCTCGGCCTGAAGAGAGGACTCGGCGAGCTCAGGAGGTGTTGCTGAGGGAAGAGTCGTCGGATCAGAGGCCGCCGGAAGAGCCGCCGAGTTCATAGTAGCCGACTGTCCTTTAGTCGCCGGAAGAGCATCTATCACGGGCTTGAGGCCCCAGCTCTCGGGAGTGAAAGAGGAGTCCCGGACCAGCAAGGCAGAATGGATCTCTGTCTGCGCCTCGCGAAAGCCGAGGCGATAGTCACGCTCGCCCAAGTCCAGGAGGAACTCGTCACCATCCGGCGTCGACAGCCACTCCTTAGCAATTTCTTTCTGGCGAGCCTCTATCGCCGCCTTCACCTCCGCCTCGAAGGCAGCCGACTTCTTGTATTCTTCGACAGAGGTCGCAGCAATCGTCGCCACCTTGTCCCGCTCTTCCTCCCACTGACGGGTGACCCTCAGCATCTCGGAATTGTGCACCTCCACCGCCATGAGGTGCTTCGCCTGCTCTTCCAAAAAGGCCTCCTCCGTCTGACGCAGCTTGAGGGCCATAGACCGCATTTCGGCCCTGTAGTTCTGCAGCAGCTTACTCATCTCCATTTGGAAGGTGAGGTTCTGCGAAATGACCACGAGTCAGATAGTAAAAGGAAAGAATGAATGAGAGGAATTAGATGGGAAACACTTACGCGGTACGACTGGCGCAGCGAGGCCTCGATTATGTACGCGTCCCCCAGAGCATGAGTCGCCTCCACGTCCTTAGGCAAGAGGACGTTAGCACACCACTTACGGACGGAGGAGGCGCCCATCCAGATTTGGGCATCCTCCTCTACCTCATGGCACAGCCGGATTCTTTTTGGAGCCGGCTCATCAGTTTGACCGGCCGGGCGCTTAGAGCTGGGGCTCTCTGTCTGAGGAGGAGGAGGCTGTCGAGTGGGCGACACCACTGGCGACGGAGTCAAGTCCACCACATTTCGAGGTGGTGGAGGAGTCGGCCGGGGAGCAGGAGACGGTTGGGATGAAGAGGCAGCAGCAGTGCCGGAAGTGCGCTGGGTCAGCCGACGCCTCATCTTTTCGGCTCTGTCCGCCATCTCGGGAGTCAGTTCAACCGCTCCGTCGGAGTTGGAGGAGTCGGAATCGTACGGACCTGCAGAAAGGGGAGAAAAAACCATGAGATATTCCGAGTCGGAATGTGGCAAGATAAGAAAAGAAGCGGAACAAGGAGTAACGAAAACTACCTACGGTGGCCGCACCCTCCGGTAGCAAGCCACGCTTAGCCATGGCTCGGACTCAGGACCAGTACTTGACAGAGTACGGCCCAAAGCCCTTCAAGAACTCGCCGCCCAGGACCGCATCATCAGAAGGAACGGCACGTCGAGAGCAAGGCTTGAATAGAGCGGCCGGCCACAAGGTCGGAAAAGTGAAGGAAGAAAAAGCAGGGCGGACGAAGAAATAGAGGAGCTTCCAATCCTTAATAGAATCGGACAGCCCCTCGAAAAGCTGCCGCCCCGGGCGAGCAGCGACTTGAACGAAGCCCCGCGAATGCGAGCCGACCTTGTTCACGGTAAAAAGATACCGGAACAGGTCTAGGTCTGGCTCGCACAACCACCAATGGTAGAGGTTGACGAAGCAAGTGAGGAGTCGGTGAGAATTGGGCACTAGTTGGCCCGGAACTAAGTTGTAATGGCGGTAAAAAAGGGAAAGAAAAGGACACGGGGGAACCCGGAAGCCAAAAGCAACCGAGTGTAAATGAATACCGACATAACCCTCGGGGGGGTCGTGAATTTGCCGGCCCTCCGGGGCGAGGACTACGGCAGAAGGCCCAAGAAGGTATCGGGCCATTTCCAGGTCCACCGCATTGACAACGGATGGTGACCCGGAAGGACGGACGATGGAATCGAACTTGCCCCGCGGCCGTCCGACGCCACCCGGCAGAGCCGCCACCGTCGTTAGAGGAGCGGGGCTCAGCGGAGTAACCGCCCCCGAAGAAAAGGGGGTCGGGGGAAGAGAAGGTGTCGATGGAACGTCCGCCGGGAGTTCCATACGACGAAGAGAGGACGTCGCTGGAATGTCCGCCGGAAGTTCCATACGACGGGGAGGAGAAGAAGAGGACGAAGAAGGAGAAGACGAAGAAGGAGAGGTCGTCTCAAGGTTATCAACCGAGTAACGACGAGAGGAAGAAGAATGTGAGGAAGAAGACATTACCTAAATCAGGAGAGAGATCGGAGGAAATATTGAGTGGCCGGAGAAGCTCAAAGTTGAAGTTGAGAAGAAAGACTGGAGAAGAAAAGGGAAGGAGAGACGAAATGGCTATTTAAGGGGAAGGAATTTCAAAGGACGGCCACGTGCCACCTTCTCGTTGGAGGAAGAGGAGGTGACGAGACGTGAAGGGACGCCGCATTTAATGCCTCAAAAGGCGGGGCGACGGTTCAGGCCTAGGGTTAGCCCACAGACGACGCGTCTGTCCTAGGCTAGGGTCGAACGTCAAGTGACCCGGCCTGCTAAGCCGGAAGCCCGTAGTGGGCCATGGCCTCTGGGCCCATATGATACGAGCTGGAAGCTTCTAGAATGACCCGGTAGAACCCCGCTCATCGAAGGATATCAGCCGAGTTCACGAAAAGACTCCCGTAACCAGGTCGGCAATCAGACTCGGCGACTCCCTCACCAGGAGGGTCTCGCCATAGCAAGGCTAGGAATCAGTCCCATAGACCAGAGGTCGGACGACAAAATACTAAGGAGATGCGGGGTCGGACAGAAAAACACACAATTTATTTAATTAGTACGAAGATTACAAGGCCCAACACTCGGCCGATGCAAATTACAAGAGAATGAACGAGTCAAGGCTTGGCTTCTTTCTCTGTCGACGAGCTAGCGGTCAGAGGGCCTTCCAGGAGGTACTGAGGGCGGAAAGGCAGAGGACTCGGCTCAGGCTCAGGCATTTCGTCCAGATACACGGCGGGCTTCCCGTCATCGATCATTTGCAAAGGCCTCCCCAGAGCGCTCGGCGACATGGCCACACCGAAGAGGGGAGGAGCCTCCCACTTCTCTTCCACCATTGGTTCGGGATCTTCCACCACTGGCTCCATCTCCACCCCAGATTCCGTCTCCACGTCAATGGGTTCCCTACACATCAGGTCCAACATGTCTGGAAGCACCACGATAGGGTCGGAGGCCGAGTCGCCCACCAAACGACCTCCGTTAGCCAACCTTTTCTGTCTCAGTTGCTCCAGACGAGCATGCTCCTTGTTACGGATGGACCAGCGGCGATCACCGTCCATATAACTCATAGCGCCGTACCTTCGCGAAGTGGAAAGTGTTGCGATTTGCATCAACTGTGAAGGGCCTTTATATAGCCCAGCAAAGGCAAATACCAAGGCGATGATTGCGGAGGAGATTATAACTGACATAATTGAGCCGGATTAGACGGATGACGCGAATCTCTGTCAGAGATTAGTTCCATCAGATCCGCTCGAGAAGAGCGAGATTCGCATGCCAATGCAGGAAAAAGTGGATTCGCCCAGGATATGGGGAATCTTGCAGGTGTCAGACCGAAAAGATTTCGATGACGTGACCGACCCCTTGACCAGTCGTCCAGATGAGTACGTAATAGAACACGACAAGACATAAGCCAAGGATAGCATTTATTATTATTGCAAAAAGGATGATACAAATGGCAAGGAGCTTATTACAATGGGAAATATGAAAATGCTCCTAAAAGAAATCCCTCCGAACTATGGCCGACTCCGGTACATACGATCACTCGCCAGGCGAGGAGGAGTCGCCCCCAAAGAACCCCCCCGATGGTCCAGGCGGGGATGGGCAGAACGAGTCCCAGAAAGCTGGCATGAGTGGTGGCGCAATCGGCTCCTCGTCATCCGGATACATCTCCAGGTAGCGGGCGTAATCCTCGTCATTCATCAGGCCCGTAACCGGCCCGTCCAGGTCATCCAGCGGAATCGAGAAGGTCATTTTGAAAGTAAGTTGCTCTAGAACCGCCACCTCAACAAAGGATCCGTCTTGAGAAGTCACTCGGGCAGTTGTGGGAGTAGGCGGATGGCG